CAACACTGTGAACGAAAGCGAGGTTTCAGAAATAACAGAGTACACCTTAATTACTTGTCATCAGACATTCTGTTAGGCCTTTTATACTTTTAACACTATATTCCTAATCTAGTCCCTTATAGATTTTCAAGAATTAAAAGAGTTTATAATAATAACATTTCAACCACACTATACCCATCATACAGAAGAATCTAAAGATTCTGGATTGAGAGAAACGCGTCGTCGGCAATGGATATCACAAATATGATTTGGTTGAAACGCTATTAATATATACTCTTCTAATTCTTGAAAATCCACAATGGAGTAGATTAGGAATGTAGTGTTAAAAATATAATAGGCCTAACATAATGTCTTATGACAACTATGATTAATTATATCATGATTCGCCAAATTCTAAAGGCATTCACACCATAACAATTGTAGAGTAAACCTTATAATGAGTAGTAGAGCAACGGCAACAATTATAAAGATCTTTAATGAGCGTTGCGGAATAATACATATTCCATCTTCAGCAAATCTGTGAAAACCTATAGTTCATATAGGTTGTATATGCACATTTACTATAGTCAGAAAATGAAGTTTGACAACGAAAGGGATAACGATGAACAACATTTGTTTTATTTATATCGGAAGGGATGTAGACAAACCATTCGAAATTCTACAGGTTCCATCTTGAATATCTAAACCGAAATAGAATGAACTGAAATCTTAAATTATTAAAATACACTAAGGATAACTAACGATAAAGTATGTGTTTACATTGAATTTTTAAAGTTAAACTTTGTTTACCAATGTATTGAAGACAAGAGTATATAATGAGTTTGGGTACAGCTGGTAGTCTGGGTGGATTTGTGAGTTTCTTAGTTAGAAAGGTATTGGTCATTTATTCCAATAACTGTTGGGTGTAGCCATTATGTCTTAGAATATAATGTCGAAAAGTAGAACATTTTCATTACAGATACACGTACATACCCAAGCTGCTTTATACTATAGATGGTTGGGGAAACGCCCTGCCACACTCAGTACACGTTATTATGTCTCTGCAGACACACATACTGTTTTTCTATTGTTCCTTCTGCTACTCCAAATACTTTTCCATCCGCCATTCCTTCATTTCTAAGTGGATTGGCTTGAAACTTGGTAGGGTTATACCTTGGTCCATTACGCCCAGACTTCTTTTTTATTTATTCGATTTAGGTTTTTTAAAGGATTCTTTGGGGTAGAAAGCCCAACAACCCCAAAATGTATTTACAGATGAAAATTGGCACAATTATAAATTTTCATGCTCCCAACACATTGACATACAAATGAGTTGGATTTGCCCATTTCAAGTCTTTTTAGGGGTGTCAGAGTTCACAACAAACTAAATACAACACGCAATCCAAACATGGTTAGTTTTGGCATCAGAAAAATCGAACACTGGCTATATCAATACTTGGGGTCTGCAAAGAAGAATCTTTATATCGAATCCCACAAAGAGTAATGGACTAAAAATCCCTCGAATGTTGGCCTCTTTAATATTTAATACATCTTTCTCACTGTTTGATTGTTGTTTTGTAATATTTTAACAAGAAACACCCAAATATTACATTTATATTTGAGCCAAGCATGATTTTCAAGACTGCCATTTTTAGATACCTTAAAACACCTTTAAACGATGTGTTTGTCATAAACCAACATTTCCTGTATTTTAATTCAGAAAATATTGACGTCTTTAGTCGTGTACAAACTGTTGGTGACCATTCTATTTCACAATTTTCTCTCCCACAAAAAGGAAACAAATAGCGTTTATCTTTGTTTTCTTTTTTTGACCTCACCCATCATAACAATACACAGTTTTGAAGAAAATGTTTATTAATCTTTTACAAAGAGTTTCCTAGACATCGAACTTAAATAATTTAAACAGTTTTTAGCATAAGAAGATGTTCGTTCCTTACAAGTTTAACTGACTTCTTACGTTCAGAGGTGTATGTAGAACCCAACACTAAACGGTTGTCTCCTAAAGTACGAAGAGGCATGCCGGGAAATTAATTGAATGTGATATTACATGTTACCACTTTACTACAGCGAAGACAACTAAAGAAATACATTAATGAAATTCGAGGATCTTATGATATCTTCGTTCAAACATAATGGATACTACTTGTGTCTTTCAATAAACTATATATTGTTCCAATGATAGCTGTCATACTCGTGTTCCTCAGCAAGCTGTTCCCAGTCTCAAAAATACAATAAAATACTAAATAACTTACTGTAAAGGATAAAAGACAAATCATAATGAGATTATCAACAGTCTTATACACTCAACATCTTTCGACGCACTTACTACAAAGTCTCATTTTTAGAATTGTGTACAATAAATTGTTGTTTATTAGAAAGTGAGTTTATAATATTGAACGTTTACACAAGCGCCAATGAATTTTAATATTGAGCATATTCTTCAACAAGCAATGTCTTCGTCCAAACATTGCTCATACTATTCTTGTTTTTCAAGAAGCTATATTTTCGTCCACAAATAGACACCAGGGGGCAATAACGTTATGTTTAACCATTACTATACTCATCTTTCTGTATATATTTTCACAAATCTTTGTCTAGAGCTTGTTTCTGCCTAGTTTGGAATTTTATGTATATAGGATCGATAATTAATACCTTACCAATTCGAAAAACGAACATTTAATACAGATAAGTCATTCTTTCAATCGTTTAAGGCTACAACTCCAAGCAGTGAATTTACGTTTTTGAACTTAACCGTACACCATATATGTCACACTCGCTTTCAACTGCCGGATGCAGACTGTACCCTATACGCGAATCAGCAGTCAATGGGTTAAAGACCACTAACTGTCTGAAGGTTTATCACAAAATGAATAATTGGTAGGAGAGTTCGTCATGTAGCCAAACAACCAGACCTTTCTTAAGACTGGCAGAATAAAAGATCAGTAGCAAAGAAAAGTCTGAAATTATAAAATTTTGTTCTAACAGAGAGACATACACCTTTTTGGTAAAATATGTTATTTTGTGATGATATGTATGAGTCCAAAGTCATGTCACTTTATAATTATTCAAATGTATATATTAAACATTTGTTGAGATTTTAGAAATTCTGTCACACTTGTTAATAGTTTACCAAAACATCAAATACACTTTTTCCAAATAAGGCATTGTTTATAACCGAAAAAAAGTTGACAAACATAATCTTAAAAGAATCTTGAATTAGAAATCGAGTGATTATTCCTTCGCGTTTGTTTTTACTCCAAAAGATTTGCAGTTTATCATTACAACAACAACAACAATGTAAAATCACGGACTTAACAAGCATACTAGCGTATCTATATATATATACTACTAAAACTTTGAGATTGTTTGTGTGTGTGTGCTTGTCTGTAATTAAATACAGTAAAAACGGCGCACAAACGCGCCATATTTGTAATTAAATGAAAATAGAAACAGAATAAATCAAGTTTCGTGAAAATCGGGCCACGGGTTACCGAGTTAGCCCCGTTTTTCTGGTCACTTTTAAGAAACTTTGTAGATGAATTTAGGTACACTAGATGGCGCCAGCTATCGGTTTATCTGTCTATATATTCGTTTTCCACCTGATGAATATCTTCTATAGAACAATATATACACAACAGAAATTAAATGATGAGATGAAAATGTGTTATAATGGCGCGTAGAAAGAACAACAATAAAATGGACCTACAATATTATTGACTATTTGTAAATAGTAACTATGGAGACGAGATAATAAAATAAAAATCAAGCCGAGAACAACAACAAATTTTATAAACGAAAACCTCTCCCTGAGCATTGGCTATTATATTATTACCCCGTCAGTGTTCCCATCTTCATTAATAGGCGTAAGATGACAAAAACAAGATCTTGAAGAATCTATCTATTTACTACTAAAACTCTGTGATTGTTTGTTTGCTTGCTTTCTCAGTCTAGAAACTCATTCACACTACCGTTCGCGCTCTTTACGAAACTTCATCAGGCCACTGGTTACTGAGTTAGCGACGTTTTTCGGGTCACTTTTATGAAAATTTCTAGCATGAGTAATTTTACATCACACTACCGTTCGCGCTCTT